TCCCTGCTCAGCGGGAAGCCTGCTTCTCCCTCTCCCACTCCGCCTGTTTGTGTTCCCTCTCTCACTGTGTCTCTCTGTCAAATAAATAAAATCTTTAAAAAAAAAAAATACTCTCAGCTACATAGGAGATTTTCTTTCAGTATTTTAGAATGGGAAAATTTTCATAGAAGGTTAAAAAAGGAATTGATCATTGTATGGTTATTTCCTATTAGATTTCTGCACAACACAGGAATAACTCATTTCATTTATTTGACACACTTGATTTCATTCTATATAATTCTGCATAGAACCTTCACCAACATTCCTTTGCTTCCCTATGTAGCAAAACTCCTTGGGTTGTCTATACTTGATACTGTTGCCTGACATTTCTCTTCTTGTTCTCTCTCTTCTTAAACTCTATATTATAAAATATAGAGTTTACAGAAAATTTTCAAATTTACAGAAAATTTTCAAGGATAGAACATTCATATACCCTTTACCCAGAGGAACCAATTATTATTTTGCCCTGTTTGTCTTTGCTATATATTTTTTTCATAACCACTTGAGAATTTGTTGTACACATCATGCCCCTTTATCCCTAAATATCTCAGCATGTATTTTCCTTATTTTTAATTTATTATTTATTTATTTATTTACTTATTTATTTTTTAGAGAGAGAGAGAAAGGGGTGGTAGGAAGGGGCAGAAGGAGAGGGAGAGAGAGAATCCCAAGCAGGCTCCATGCCCAGCCCAGAGCCCGACTCGGGGCTCGATCTCAGGACCCTGAGATCATGACCTGAGCTGAAACCAAGAGGCCGACGCTTAACTGACTGAGCTACCCAGGCACCCATCAGCATGTATTTTCTAAGAACAGGAGCCTTCTTTTGCAGACCACAGTTCAATTGTCAAATTTCTCATATATATGTCCATATCCAAATTTCACAAATTATCCTAATAAAGCCATTTTTGGAAATTATTTCCTGATCCAGGATCTCATTCAGAGTCATACAAATGCATTTAGAGCACTCTATCTGGCATCCATTATCCTGAAACAATAGGAGAGGCTATCTTTGTCTTTCATGACACTGACATTTTTTAAAGAATGCAGGTTGATTATTTTGTAAAGTATCTTTCAGCTTGGGTTCTTAGGATGTTTCCTCTTTCTGGGGGTTGGAGCAAGAACACAACATAGGCAATGTTGTGTCCTCAGTGTATTACATCAGAAGTGTGTAATGTCAGCTTCTCCCATTATTGGGGATGTAAACTTTGATTATTTAGTGAAAATGGTGCCCCCTCTACATTTGTCCACTAAAAAACTACACAACTTTTCCTTTCCAATTAATAAATCAGTGGGGAGATACTTTGATACCATAAATTATCCTCTCGCTTTTTAAACTTCCACTGAATAGTTTTAGTGTCCATTGATGATTTTGGCCCGAAGCAGTTATCACCATAAAAGTTGCAAAATGGTGGGGCACCTGGGTGTCTCAGTTGGTTAAGTGTCTGACTCTTGATTTCAGCTCAGGTCATGATCTCAGGGTCGTGAGATTGAGCCCGGTGTCAGGCTCCGTGCTGGGTGTGGAGCCTGCTTAAGATTCTCTCTCTCCCTCTCCCTCTTCCCCTCCCCCCACCTCGCTCTCTCTCCAAAAAAAAAAAAAAAAGTTGCAAAATGGTAATTTTCTAGCTCTATTAGTTCCTCTGCATTATGGGTTGACACTCTGCAAGGAAGAGATTTCCCTTCTCATTTATTTACTTATTTGTTTACTTACCATCAGTATGGACTCATGGATTCTTCTCTCAGTCAGTGGTTTATAATCAGCTCTTCCATTATTCATGTTGATGCTCAAAGTTTCCCATATTTGGTCAGAGGGACCCCCTGCAAGTCGTCTCCTCTGTCATTTTTGTAATGATCCCATCATTTCTCGAGCTCTCCCTTACCTTCCAGAACAACAAGAAGTTGCAGTTCTTGTATTTTGCCTGCCCCAGTCCGAGACTTGGCCATTTCACAGAGGAGGTCTGGTTTCTTTTAGTGAGAAATTGTGTTTTAAAAACAAAATCTAGGTTATAGATGTGTGACTAGGATGTTGTTGCTTCTGGCATAGAATAAAATGTGCTCCATTAAGTGCATAGTTCAGTGAATTTTGACAAATGTATATACCCATGGTCAATTTTCAGTCTTTGTTGAACTTGCTCTGTCATTAACAGCATTCGATACTGAGGATCTCACCTTCCTCCTTGCAATATTGTCTTTACTAGGCTTCTGGGAAATGATGGTTTTTCCCTATCCCCACTGGATACTCCTCAGTCTCCTTCAATTGTCTCTGCTCTTCTCTATATCTTTCAAAGTTGAAATACTGCAGAACTCAGACTCTGATGCTTTTCTCATCTGTATATCTGTCTACTCCCTAGGTAATCTCATCTGACAACTCCCAGATTTTTATCTCTAGCCCAGTCTTCTCTCCCAAGCTCTGGGTTTTATATCCACTTATTTCCATCTGACATCTGTGCCTGAATTTCCAATAGACATCCAAATTCAACATGTGCAAAACTGAAATCCACCCCACACCTGGCCTTCCTGTGGCTTTCCCATCTCAGGTGATGGCAGCTCCATTCTCCTAGTTATTTAGAGCAAAAACTTGGAGGTGCCCAAAATATACTCCAGATCCCCCCCTCCCCCCACTTCTTGTCCCTCCACTGGTCCTCCCATGATCTGAGCAACCATCATCTCTTGCCTGGGTTATTTCAAGGGCCTCATAGCTGGTCTCACTACATCAAAGCTTTCTCTTACAATCTGCTCGCCACATAGAATGACCCTTTTTGAATATATAGTGTGATCATATCACTCTTCTCTCAAAACTCTGCAGGGGCAAGGTGCCTGGGTAGCTCACTCAGCCAGGTAAGCATCTGACTTGGACTCAGGTCATGATCTCGGAGTCCTGGAATCGAGCCCCGCATTGGGATTCCCACTCAGGGGAGTCTGCTTTTCCCTCTCCCTCTGCCCCCCCCAACCCTCGCTCATGCTCTCTCTGTCTCTCTGTCCCTCTCTCAAATAAATAAATAAAATCTTAAACAAACAAATAAACAAACCTTTGCAGTGGCTCCTTATTTCATTCAGAGTAGAGCCCAAGCTGTTACAATGGCCTACAGGACTCTATAATTCTCATGCCCTCCTCTGCTCTGAGACCTCATCTCCTACTCCTCCCTCTTCCTCTCCTTTCCATCCACCTGGAATTCCTGCAGCTCCTCCCACATGCTGGCATGCCAGGCGTGCCCCTTCTAGGGGCATTCAAGCTGGTACCTCTGTAAGGAAGGTATCTCCCAGTTATCTGCTTGGCCAGCTTCCTCATCTCCTTCACTTGACCAAACTATACCCTCTAATGACGCCCACCCTGACTATCCAAACACAGAATGCCTGGTCCCTCACTTTCAGCTTTTCTGGCTTTTCCCCATTGTACTTACCACCATCTAACACATTTTTATAAATTACTTATTTTTTGTTTATTGGTTATTGCATGTCCCTTTATGCTGGAACGTAAACTTCATGAGTACAGGGATCTTTGTTCTGCTCACTGGAGAACCTAGAACCAAAGGATCTCACTGAACATCTGTGTTTTAAATAAATGAATGAACCACTTTGTCCTATACTTTGACTTGATAAATTGATAGAAATGAGTAAGAACCCACTAGTAGAACTGAGTCCACGTATACCATTTTTAATTTAGCTGTATGCCTAACACCCAACTTCAGTTACACTCCTCTCTCTGGATGTATGTTTTCCTCTTTCCACACATGAAATCTAGATCCACTTTAAAAAAAGAAAGCATTTCAGTCAGGTGGGATTTCCAGAGAACAGTGGGTTTTGCCTGCCCTGAATTAAGCCTTTGCATGCATAATATAGCCTAAGTAACAAACCTGATTTTGGTCAGTCACTGCCATCAGGGAGGGCCACGTTGCCCACTCTTTCCTCTGCTTCTCTATCCACTGTGATTCTGAGCTCCCTAGAGAAGAAGGGGAGATGGGAGGAAGGGTGAAAGAATCCAAAATTTCTTTAGATATGGACTGTACGTTTTCCTAGTAGACTGTTCAGTTGACTCCAGATTCAAAATGGGTAGTAGATGTCACTTAGGTGGCCCTGGAGTGATTCATAGAATTTCAGCTGAGATAAGACATACCTTGACAGGCATTCAAATAATGTGCCTGGCGTATTTCTGGAAAATCACCATGATGTCAACAGTCAAGTTTTGAAAGGCACATGAGTATTAAAATATCTCTACTGACAGGATCAGACTTTCCTGGCCACTAGTAAAAAAAGAATATACTCCATTAGAAAGTAGACACCCTCTTTGCTTCTTGTCCAGAAAATCTAGATCACCTTTGTACTGAGATTCTTGATTCCTTTGCCCCTGGTATTCCTGGGACATTAGGAAACATTTTCCTCATGTCTAAGCTAGTGTATTCTCAGCCCTTTTAATTAAGAGAGTGTAGGATGAGAACCTGGTTTAAATGCTGGAGGCTTGGTTTTAATATCATAGAAAAAAGCATAACCGTTCCTTTCAAATGCATGCAGAAGTATGCGGATTTCACATACTTCACGTACTAAGCATACCAGCGCCATTAATAAGAAAATGAAGATTTTAATTTATATATCTCATGCCTTCTAAAATTACATTCAGAAATATCTTGACATTTTAATGAATGTAATATATAAGAAAGGTCATTTTTATTCTAAGACAACTTCAAATATAGATTTAAATAGACTGTATTTAAGAGAGCACTGAGAGCATATTTTAAGTTTATCTCTTTTATAATACATTGTGTTTTTACATCAGGCTCCCTGCTCGTGGGGGAGCCTGCTTCTCCCTCTCCCTCTGTCTGCTGCTCCCCTGGCTTGTGCTCTCTCTCTCTCTCTCCCCCTGTCAAATAAATAAATAAAATCTTAAATATAATACGTTGTATTTTTACATAGTGGAGAAAATAGGGCTTTTTAAATATATAATGTCTGTATTTGATTACTTTCCTCAGATACAACACACTCAGGGGAAATTGGCACTAAGAAAAAGGTGAAAAGACTGTTAAGCTTTCAAAGATACTTCCATGCATCGAGGCTGCTTCGTGGAATTATACCACAAGCCCCTCTCCACCTGCTGGATGAAGACTACCTTGGACAAGCAAGGGTGAGTTAGTCTCCTCTGTCACCTCCCAGGAGATCAGTGGCCAAAAGCATGTACCTCAGCTGACAGTACCTGGGTTGGAGTCCAACTTCTGCCACTGAGACCCTCTGTGACTCTGGCTAGTTAGTCAACACATCTGGACTTTTCCCTCAAATATGAAATGAGGTTAATAGAAACACCCAGCTCAGAGGGGTGATGCAGAGATTACATGAGGTAAAGCATGCTTACATGTTTCATATATTCATGCCTAGCACATGCTAGCTATTTTCATTTTTACAAATGGACAAAACATATTTGCACAACACTAACTAAAGTAAAATTCTGGACTGATTGATTACCAATGAGAGAATAGCTAAGTCTTTAAACCCATTATAATAGCTATGCTGAAAGTAACCCAATAATTACCAACTCTTAATTCCACTTCTGTCTACCCATATGGTATGTAGTCCTTTTTATAATTTTATTTTATTTAAATAATTTTCACAAATTTTACAATCATTTTTGCAATTCATTGATCAAAGGTTGAAATGAACATGTGACAATTAAAAAAAAAAAGTTCACAAGTTATCTCTAGCCCAAACTGTCAAAGGATTTTAAATTTCAGGATAAACTGCCACCGTTTAAACAGAAATCACAAGTAGAGTCTTAGAGTTTACATGCTAAATAATATTATGCTATCTATATACTATTAAGAAATATATACTATTACTGTATAGTGTTAGTAACTAAGCAACAAGTAATATCAGAAGAACTAATTCCCAACTTTAGGTTTAAAAAAGAAAAAAAAAAAATCACTCCTAACAACCCAAGGCCTGAGATTGAGTGAATATTTGTTTGTTTGTTTATTCATCTGGATGGTTGGGTGGTTGGGTGGTTGGTTGGAGAAAAAAGAGCAAGACTAAGCGCCCTGGGGCATCAGTGACAGAGCATTCTTGTGGGGCCCTCCTCCAAGCATTCACCCCTCAAGAGAGATGACCTTGAGATGTAGAAAGAACTGTGGGTCACAAGGCAGGATACCAGGGATCAAGTCCTGATTCTGCTTTAGTATTTGACTTGGATAAAATGTTCACGCACACCAGATCTCACAGGTAACCTATTATTTCTTCATTTTTCTGATAATGCTGGAAGGTCTTTGTGTGCTGTGACAAGGCCCTTAGACTTTATTGGGAGATGCCGGGAAGACATTTAGGGGCAGGAAGAGGAGAGTGAGCTGGTCCTTACAGGAAGCAGTGACTTTGAGAAGAGAGGAAGGCCAGGCAAAGAAGCCACAGTGAGGATAGAGTCCATAACCACAGCTTCACATCTGAGAGTTAAAGACCATCTAATTCTAAGCATGGGGGATTTAAAAAAAAACAAACAAACAGGATAATAAGCCTACATTGGACAGTAGGTCTTTAAATTACCCAACATTTTCAATTGCCAACTCCAGTTTCCTATCCGTTAGAGTGGTTCATTTCACATTTCGTCCACATTGAGCAAGCAATGTGCTCAGCAATCATTTTGACTTCATCTTTTAAAATTTTGCTGTAAACATTCTCAAGTATATAGTCATTTGCGATGTACAGACTTTACTGAACTACAGCTTTAACAGATATCAAATTTTATGTGTGCTTATTATATACAAACACCATTCTAAGCACTCCACATATATTACCTTCTTTAATCCTCACAAACATCCTATTTTTCAAATAGGAAACTGAGGCACGGAGAAGTTAAGGAACTTGCCCAAACCCCCCCAGCCCGTGAGAGGCGGGCTGGCACCGCACCAGACAGTCTGACTCCTTTCACACTCTTGTCAGCAGCACGTAGAGCAAGATTTGTTTTACCACAAACCAGATAGCAATGTGCTACTATTTCCAACTTTTTAATTGTTTCATTCACTGTCTCAAAGTAAATGTTTGAGTCTCCGGTATGATTCATTTGAATGCTGTTTTTCGTTTGCCTTTTCAGCATATGCTTTCCAAAGTGGGAATGTGGGATTTTGACATTTTCTTATTTGATCGCTTGACAAATGGTAAGTCACCAAAAGAATCTTATTTCCAAACACTGTTATTCTTTTTCCCTTCTTTTTCCACTTTCCTAAGTCTATAGCCACTCAAGAAGGGCCAGGGCAGGGGAAAATTAATTCAGATGAAAAGTAAGGACTGAATTTGGCCTTAGAATCTTAAGACCATTTTCCTTCTGGCCTTGATGATCCCAAAGGAATTTGGAAACCACAGATTAGATTCTTTCCTGGCAGAATACTTTGGCCACATCCCAATGTAGGAGGTTCATTGTCAGTCAGTGAAAACTAGAAACACTGAAGCTCGTCTGATCAGTCCTGAGCCCTATAGGGCAGGTGTCTGTACATTTTCACTGAGTAAGCTGAAGCTGGTCCAGTGCAGGTCTTGTTCAGATATGCTTGGCATCACTGGAGGAAAATACTGGCTGATGATGGAGTGTAAAACGTTAGGCTACAGCTGAAGAGAAAAGTAGGCATTCCCACTGGCTTCACTTTTAAAATCTTGGTGCCTATAAAGACTTTCCTGAAGAAAATAATAAAATTTGGTTATATATTCATCTGCCCATTAAACAAATGCCAATAGGCTTAGGGAGCCAATGAAAGACATCATACCTGATGCTGACCTTCACATGTCTCACCGTATACCAAGCTTACACTTTAAGTCATTACAGATGGTTTTCTCAGCCTCTGTTACTTGACAAATAACATACAGTTGAAAGATACAGCCTCAGACCGTGAAGCCGACCGAGCTTTACACTGTGGACAGCTAACTAGACCATGTAGGGATGGAGCCCACAATCTTGTATTTCACTTTGCTCAAATCAACTGAGAAATGGGTACCAGTAGATGAAAGTAACTCTGAATAAAAGGATTTGCTCAAAAGAGAGTATAATCATGACCCTCATGGAATATGAAATGAGCATATGTCAAAGATTTAACTCAATTAATTAGAGATCCGTTAAGATGCTACAACTAGTTCAAGGGAAAATTCAAAGAACAACACATATGTAAACAGTAAGAAATGTTTAAATGAATTTATTAATAGCTGTAAAACTGGGAAGAGGAAGTCAACTGTATTTTCACCTGAGAGATTTTGTTTGCATGTTATGGACAAGAATCATTTGCCATACTCTCAGTTATCTACGACTTTGAGAGTTGTAAAGTAGCTCAAAGACAAGGGAATCTGCAGAAATGCAGAATCAGGTGGCCCGGAAGAGTGTGCTTAGGCAATACTTTGTTCTCCACTTAAGACATCCAGTCATCATCTTGGTCCATTTCAAAATCTTTCATAAATTCTCTAATGCTTTTAAAATTCAAAATCATTACTCTTTAGTCAATAATATTTCCTAAATGCTTACTAGTCATTATTGCTTCAATTTTGCATCTCTGCTGGCTTAAGTTCTAAACTATCTCATGGTCACATCTCATCTTGGGTGATTTCTCTTAAGGAACGTGGTGACTTAGATATCCCTGTAAACCTAAGAATCAGTTGGAAGCAACTTAAGGCACATTGCAAGTTACCATTAAACTGTGTCTTTAAAAACTACACACGAACACAAACACAGTTTGTGTGTGTCCCCACAATAAGCAGACTCTTAATATTTTCATTGCCTTTGGTATAGAGAAATGTCCGACCTAGCTTGTTTCACTTGTACAATATGAGAAAACCTAGGACCAAACCATAGGAATAAGATCCTTTATACTTGAAAAAATTCAAATTTAACAGGGAAAAGGAGACTTTTCATTACAGAAACTTTGGATCCTTTTGTCAATCTCAATATTTTAGTGGTGAAAAAAAAAGTTAAAGCAGGTGACTGTTTTCCTACAGGAAACAGCTTGGTAACACTGCTGTGCCACCTCTTCAACACCCATGGACTCATTCACCATTTCAAGTTAGACATGGTGACCTTGCACAGGTTTTTAGGTAAGTCTTCATTTCCATATTCTTACCTCCTTTCCTCTGAATAATGACAGCCCATAATATTCTTTAATGTAAAGTGGCAAGAATGATAGCATGGAAGATGAAGATCTCAAGTTAATCTTAAATTATCTCACCTTAATTTTAAAATATGGTTTACCCATTTTTGAAATGGTGAAAAGTGAAAAAAGATTATTTACTTGATTATCTATGTTTACAATAGATAAAAACAATATAAGGAAAACCATCAAGAGCATGTAACTGCTAAAGAAATTACTGATCTGCTTACCTATCAGCAAAACCCCAATAATGTATGCCTCAAATAATTCCAATCTGGACATGAGCTGTTAAAAATCTTCAATAGGCTTTTTTTTTTTTTTTTAATATAAGAACTACCATTTATGTAGTGCCCACTATATGCAAGATGCTCTCAGTATGTTATTCCTAACCATTTCAACAACTCTGCAAGTTGGGTGTTGTCACCGCCATTTGGCGCACAGTTAAGGAAAAGTAGAAAGAGGTTTCATAACTTGCTCAAGGTCAACAACTTGTAATTGGCAGAGCTTCAGTCCAAGCCCAGGTCTGTCTGACTTGAAAGTCCGCCATGTTTCCACTCAACTCCACCCCGTCACTCTCTATCAAAAACAGCCCCAGTTCTTACTGGACTTAATACGCACGCTTATTTATCTGCCAAATGATCCAGGGCACATTTTTAATCACCATATAACTTCCTGCTGCCACTTAGCATGTTGCTGGCTTCTTTGATGTGTCCTATGGCTGTGCTTTGAATTTCGAAGCTGACTTGATGCCTTGATGCCTCCAGAGTAAAGTAACAGAGACATGGTAGCAACAGAAGGAATGACAACCAGGCCAATACAGTGCTGACATATGCTGGGACTAAGGACTTGCATATATTAACACATTTCATTCTTACAGCAGCCCTTTGAAAGTGGAGCTATTGTTATTCCCATTTTATAGAGAAAAAAACTGAGGAAACTTATGGTTAAGTAATTTTCCCAACACATATAATAAGGGAGAGAGCCAGAGTTTAAATATAATTGTTTTTAGAAACCCGTAAAATAAATAATAATTGGCAAAAGAAATTTTTGAAACCAGCTACAACATGGCTTGGTTCCAGAAACACAAATAACTTCAGGCTAATTGAATGATTTCTTGAGCAAAGTAATGGCCACAAATGGGCCAAATAATTTTTATTTGTCTAAAGAAGGAGAACACAGATACTTTAGACATGTGTATGCCCGCAGAGTAATGTAAAGAATGAAAAGATTTGATGACAGAAATAACACCCGAATTCAGAGCTAAACTCATAAAATGGGCTGAGAAAATATGGCCACGCTTGCAAATCTGGACATTCTATACACACTGAAAATATTGCATCCTAAGCATCTTAAGCTAAAGCAGGCTAATGGCTTCTGTAATTAGCAAAACCAAATCACCTTGCTTATGTCTCTACTTGGTTCCAAGAGCACTCTGGTCCTTAAATTGGAAGGGCATGAGAGATGCTAACTTAATCTGAATGAGATAGAAATAAAACCAAGGAGTTCACCATTGGATCAACACAGTACTTTGAACTTCTGCCTGAAGAAGTGTCAGATTTGCTTTGGTCAGTCTTTGCTGTTCAAGTGCTAAACCAGTCTTTGGATATCGGGGTCTGATGCTACTTGGGCTCTTTAAAAGGAAACCTCTTTAATGGCATATTATTCGTAAATGGCAGCAAACTTAAATAATTAAACTATAGTATGAAATAAAGTTGTCCTTTTCCTACATATTTATTTTTCCTATGAATGAAAGCCTTGATGAATGCCAGAAAGGAGTGATTTATGAAGGTGGTGAGGAATCCCAAGGGCCTCACAAATCCTTTTAGCCTTTCTCCCATCTGCCCTCCCCTCCTCTTCACTAAAAACAGCCCAATAGAACTGCCAAGCTTGCAAACCACGTTTATTTTTAAAGGATCCCCAGGCTGCACATTTTGGAGACACTGATATTTTTAAGCAAAAGGGATCCTCAATAGGTCTGAGCTTAGTCTGCCCTGCCTGTTTTGGTTTTAGCTGATGAGTTATCTGTTTGCCTCCTAGTCATGGTTCAAGAAGATTACCACAGCCAAAACCCATATCACAATGCTGTTCATGCAGCCGATGTCACCCAGGCCATGCACTGCTACCTGAAGGAGCCAAAGGTAAAGCAAGACCCAGGTGCCTCCTCAGCCCTCTGGAGGTGTCAACTAAACTGCCTGCTAAGTCCCAAATCACCCAACATAGTAGAATAACTGTGTATGGGTCATTCACACTAGGAATATAAATTATTTCTATGAAAGTTCTGCTATCAGCTTTGTAAGTTACATAATACACATGAAAGAGGGTGTAAATTTTCTGAGGGCTTTTCTTCCCATAATTTCTACACTTGTCAAGACTGCATTAGGACAAAAACAACCCTTTCTATGACAAGCTACATCTTAGATATCTTCAAAACCCTCAAGAAATTAATTGTTTTGCCTTGGACCTCTGCCACAAGTGGTACCAGCAGTGAAATGCTCTGGAAAAAGTCTCTCGCTTCATGGGTTTTGATTGACAAATAGAATCGAAAGTCCTCAAGACGGAAGCTCCATTTCCTACTAAGCCAACAGGGCATCCTGATTCAGGCCCCAGAGAACTTGTCAACTTCAGAGATCCCAGAGCAAGTGTGTTCTGATGCAATAAAGCAATCCAAAACTAAAAATATAATAATAATACTCACTACTTGAAATCTAAGCATTTCTTAGCCATATATAACTGAATTGGCTTAACATACATGATGGATTTTCTTAAGGTTTTTCAAAAATGATATCCTAGTCCAAGTCTCTGTTTAGTTTGGTCAGTTTTAATATCAGTCACTAAACATACGGATGCCAGACAGGCATTCTCAAGAGAAAACTAGGTAGATAGATGCCTCATCCTTGTAAAATATCCCATTAAAGGTTGTGTTTTTTAATCTGTAAGTTGTCTGAAATTTCTAATATATCATACAGTAGTATATTTAAATTTAGTACTGGATTCCCATTCTCCTGCTGGTTTTCATAGCTACCAAAAAAATGACAGATTCTTACACATTCCCCCACTATTTATTACACATTGAAGAAATATGCAAATTTTGTAATTCAGCCCACTCTTTGATTCCTTATTCCCAGTGGCAATGATAGAGGGGATGGTTGAAATACACAAATGATTTTTTTTTTAATGTGTCCATTACTTTGGCTTTAAAATTTTCCTTCATTCACCGCTTTCTCTCGGAGCAAGGCTGACTTCAGGCTCTGCCTTCTCCCTGCTCACCAGAGAGCAGTCTTGCCAATAGGCAACACCACTCCCTGCACCAATAAAAAGAAACAAGAGTAGCAGTAGGAAGAGGAGGGTAGTTGGATGAATGATCCAGAAAAATTTGACTTGCTTAATTACTTTCCACACTGTCCTTTTTTCCCCCTGCAATTCCATGGGGCTATCACCTCACTGACTGCTGCTTCAAGAGGGTAAAGGTCAGGATGGAAAGCCTAAAAAATACTGTCATAATTCATACAGTTTGATTTAGCCAAAACAAGCACTAACCTATGTGGGAAAACACCAATCGATCTCCCAATGTGATTTTTTTAACAGCTTGCCAGCTTCCTCACGCCTCTGGACATCATGCTTGGCCTGCTGGCTGCAGCAGCACACGATGTTGACCATCCAGGAGTGAACCAGCCATTTTTGATCAAAACTAACCACCATCTCGCCAACCTATACCAGGTAAGGGAGCCCATTGTTGAGTCACAGTTCAGCCAACAGCCTTCAGCCCAGTGTTGGAGCCTGTGTCTCACCTTTGGAGATAGCCTTCCTTCAGGGTCAGCCTCGATGACAGCCACAGCCAAAGACCATGGATTTGAAATAGGTCCAGGATATTCCCCAAGGAAGATTAAATTTGTTTACAAAGGTATCCAAGGAATTCCGTTCTATCCAAAGCAGATTTGAAATTGTGCAGAGTAAAACAGGATCTCTGAGCCTACCCTCTCGGGATCTGAGAATATCTGTCTCCCTGGACACCGGTGGTCTCATATATAATGGCCAGTTGAAGCCAGTCCTTGTAGGACTTCTATAAATGATAATTCCCAAGTGCAATCCTAATTCAAACTTAGGTTTCTAAGACTATTTCTGAACTTGACTGGTCTCCAGGTCAGAGGTATGTTATCAAAGATAATAGGCATACTTTGTTGTTCTAAAATAGCTCAGCAGCATGAGTAGGTTGACCTGGAGACCTTTTATTTCTGATGTTATTTAAGACAGTAAAACTTATATCATAGACGAATAATTTCCAGAATTTTCAGGGTGGTCCTTTGGAGACCTTTGGTTGTCATTCACAAAATCATTGCATACAAGGTAGTCATTGATCTCAATTCTAGTAGATCTTTGAGAAACACAATGCTAAAAAATTCTTGACAGATCTCCATAAAACACCTGCATTATACAAAATGTTACAGCTTGAGGATGCGTTTATTTCCAATAAAGCACAATCGGCAGATGAGGAAAAGCCTTTCTCCATCCAGTTGATTAGCTTTTAGCATAGGTAGGAACTGACATTCCAACGTTTATGGATCCACCTGGTATGTATCCAGCACTGGGCTCTCTTGAGCAGCCAGCCAGCACCCAGAGCCAGGACAGATGTGGCCACATCGAGGGGACAAGATGACAGAACTAAGAAAGCCTTTGATGATGAGCTACAAACTAAACAAAGAAAAATAAGAACTGAAGCTAAACTTTCTAAAAGCATCTCAGAAGCTAAATTTATTGCTTGAGAAAAACACAGACATGAATGACTGGACTGAAAGCCCCCAGATAGATTTTCTATTCCTGTCAATGCTGATTTTTTTCAAATGTCTTTTGTTAGACAAAGGAAATCAATCAACAAAATAGGCTATTTGATCCTTTCCCATATAAAGTAAATGCTTACATAATTCTAATTTCTTGTCGTCAAATAAATCATGTCAATGAAGTTTAAGAGAGTATCTGTGGCTACTGACTGATTGGTACATAAAATGAGGGTCATAATACTGCACTTTGACGTGTAGTATATATAAAACATGTGATGGGTTCACATCTAGACAGGAAGTTAAAAAGAAATATGCCAGATGTTAAAAACAAGAAAGTCATTGTAGAATTTCATAAGAATTAAGTATTCATTGCTAATTAACAAAAATTGATTCTCAAAATAAAAACACTCTAGTCTATCTTATTCAGATATTAAAACTGTTCTCAAAAAAATGGATTCCTTACTCAAATGTTTGAAGTGCAGGTAATTTTTAATAGTTTTTATTTAATCTCTTTGTTAAAAATAAACATTTCAATATTGTGGTGCCTGGGTAGCTCAGTCACTTGAGCCTCTGACTCTTGGTTTCAGCTCAGGTCATAATCTCAGGGTCATGAGATTGAGCCCCTCATCAGGCTCTGTGCTCAGCACAAGTCTGCTTGAGATTCCCTCCCCTCCTCTGATCCTTCCCCCACTTATGCATGCTCACTATCTCTCTCTCTCTCTCTCTAAAATAAATAAATAAAATCTTTTAAAAAAATAGAAAATAAACATCCCAATACAACCAAATTCTGTAGCCTTTTCAATACAACATATAGTCTTGTATATTTTTAATCAGCAACTATTTATTGCATATCATATCATCATCATCATATATGATCATCATCATCATCATACTAAGATATACTAAGATCTAGGAATACAAAGATGAATAAAGTATAATCTCTGCCTTCAAACATTTGTTCAAATTCAGATGCTCAAAATGTGCAAAATCTAGGAAGACTTAATCTCAGTTTGAAAAAGCTTTGGGGAGCTAGCTAAAGATATACATATAGCTATAATTTTTTTAAGTCTTTAAAGAGTAAGGACCTGTTCTGTTCTTTGTATTCAAAATTGTTACTATAATAAAATGAGCTATTATTTTTTCTAGCAGTGAATTTATCCATCTGAACTGTCTGGCCCAATCCTTGACAGGAAAGACAAGGATCATTTTGATAATAACTAGAAAGAATTGGGATATAGGACTTGAAAACCTCATGCAGAATAAATCTTCATCAGTCTCCTGCTCAACAGGTCTTAGGACCTCTTGGAAGCTAGGTAGAGACCCTTGACTTTAGGTTTTAGAAATAATGTTTGAAAAAAAAAAAAGGAAAAGAAATGGTATTGAAGGCAAACTGGGATCACACAGTATCATAAAGATATTTCTACTATCTTAGAGCTCACTAGGATAAAAGCTGAAATTTTTATCAGCCAAACTGGGACGTAACATATTAAAAGTAAAAATTGTTAAGAGGACCTGAAAATATTATGAGATTTCAGTTCTGTCCAAAAAATTTCTGATGCCTTTTATATTTGGCTATATACCATCATTTATTAACTATCAGAGGGAATTTCAAAATAATAAAATAGTTCAACGAATTATATAACTTGTTTACCATGACTCAAAAACTGTGTTAAATGCTTTTGAGGCATTATATGATTTACTCTGCACAATAGTCCAGTTAGGTGGGTATGATTATCATACCAACTTTCCAGAAAGAGGAACATTGATACTTAGGAAAGTCAAGGGTTTTTCCTGAAAATAAATAGCTAATTAATGGCAAAGCCAGAATAAGTGTTTTGTCTCCAGAGCAGGAGTGACTCAGCACTATACACACATGATCTCTGAAATTCACATGGATCACCTACTTTCCTGTGCGGGGCTAGGAGCTCTCCACCAAGTTTCCTCCTGCAGGGAGGGAGACAAAGGGGTTAGACCCGAGTGGCTTCAAGCGGAAGGGACTCTGTGAAGTACTCTTCAGGGCATAGCTACAAAGTATGATGGAAAGACAGATGTCTAGGGGAGGGGGGAACCTCAGGGAGGAAGAACTGTAAACGGGCCTTGACGTGTAACATTCTGAGTAGCAGAGCTGAGGGAGGACACTGGAGGCAGCATGAGCTGGTGGACTTTTGGGATTAAAACCCCAAACCCCAGGATAACTGAAAACAAACTTGTCTCTGTGGCCGTTAGCTGAGCATAGGAACAGCCCCTGCTTTCAGATCAGTGTCTTAGGCATATTTTCATTAAGTGTATATTCTCTCTTTTGTAGAAGCTTCTTCTCTAGATTAGCTGTACAGAACATGACCTGGGTCAGAAAATCTCTGCTCTGCACCAAGCTGTAGATGAGGAACTGGCAAGAAAAAAAGATGATGTTACCTAATATATAAACTGAGCCAGACCATTAACAACACATGATATTTAAAATCTTTGCCAATGTAGACTTTCAGCCTCCCAAGAACCTGTTGGTTGAGACATGAATGAACTTTCAGGAAACTGTGTGCCGATTTTCAGAGGATAGACCTATGCGCTTCCTTCTAGGGTAAGGATCCATAACTTACACTCATATTTTAAAACAAGTTATAGATTCTGAAAATATTAGGAACCATGGTAATGGTTAAAAAATATATATACACTATGTATATATATTACACAATATATTGTGATTATATAGATACACACAGAAAAAAAATTTTACACACCCACGCACACACATTTGGTTAATGAGAATCCAGTAGAGAGGATGTGCCAGGAATTATGTGGGCTGAGAACACCCTGTGCGTGACTTTCTACAATCTAGGTTTTCTATAAATGAGATAAAATGGAAGAGAGCTTCCTCTCCCTCCTTTTGTTGGCTGTGCTCTTTTAGTTCCAATAAATAAGAAGATCACTGCATAACACCCAGCCTGTGCTTCTGCCCTGAGATAAAGAGCCAGAGCAGCTGGAGTGAGGGCCAGGTTAGAGGGCTCCCTCCCATTGTCAGCTGTCTGGACCAGACTCACTAGCTGAACTGCCAACCCAAGTTCAAAATGAAGGTGATAAAAGCACTTCCACCTGGCACCTCTTTCAGCAGAGTGGAGGCCATCCAGATGTCCCTGGTGGACTGAGAGAGAAAGGAACATGCGAGACATCGAACTGAGCACTTACCTTCTGTCCCTCCGCCCCGCAACCCCTCACCCCTGCACTCAGCACTTGAGCAAAGTAAGCATTAAGTCAGATAGGATTGGTTATTACAGTAAGGACTATTGCAAAAAGAATCACTTTCAGCTCCATTTCAAATTTAATTCCTTTTGATTGGGTCTAACTACATCTTAGCTAGTGACAGAGCAACCTAATGAATAAAATAATTAATCATTGTTCCTTACTGCGTAATATGTTTCATAATACTAAATTCTGTACTGTCTTACAGAATTTATAATCATTTTTCTTAGTCACTTATCACAAGCACTTAGAGCAGATCAGCATTTTTTTAAGATTTTATTTATTTGAGAGAGAGAGAAAGAGAAAGAGAGAGCACGAGTGGGGTGAGGGGCAGAGGGAGAAGCAGACTCCCTTCTGAGCAGGGAGCCTGATGCGGGGCTCGATTCCAGGACCCTGGGACCATGACCTGAGCCAAAGGCAGACACTTAACTGACTGAGCCACCCAGGCGCCCAAGGTCAGCATTTTTAACCACTTTTTGCTCTTCCTGACTCTGAGCCATAAATAGGAGTCTGACAGAGCCAGGAGAAATGTTCCTGCCACATGGTCCTATGACCCCTACTCAGATAAGCAACTGCAAAGATGATACATAACCTCACAATTTCTACAGTATCAATGGTGTTTTGGGCCAGTCGTGTGAAAATTGCAGGAAGGAGGCTCAAATTGGATTTTCTGTTTCATAAAGTTTCTGCTGTTCACTGTGAGGAAGG